TGCGTTTGGTCGGGTGCGCGCGATCCTTCTCGATATCGAAGATGTCGTTGAAGAGATAGACCGTCCCTGACGTCAAACTGAACAGCAGCGCGCCCAGGAACCCGAGCCCGAGCAAGCTCGGCTCGAGGAAGCTCTTGGAGAAGAACAGCGGCGCGAGCACGAACAGGTTCTTGACCCACTGGTGAGGACGCAAGGTCTTCAGGAGCCCGAGGAGCATCCCGCCAGCGGTCACCTCGACCTGTGTTGGCGAGGTTGTCGGCGCGTCCGTGTCTGTGGTGCTTGTCGATTGCGTGGACATATAAAAAACAGCGCAGGTCGTGAATAAATGGCCTCGCTCAAGAAACATCCCTGGCGATGCCGCATTGCTATAGCAACTCGTGGCAGATGCCACCGCTCGGAGCACAAACATGGCGGTCGGACATCACGAGCGAACCCTTGGCCGCGCTGACGCGTAACTGGCGGCGTGACCTTTGGAGGGTGTTGACCCGAATCGCGGCGAAATCCTAGCTCGATTCGAGTCTGATTGCACGTTGGGAGTCGACGCCCTCGAAGATGCCCGCTGGCGAAGGGATTCGAGATGCTCGACAACCCCGGAGCAGCGCTGTAAAAAGCACCCGGGTTTTGGATATTGCATCCAACCCTCTCATAAACCGCGGCGCCCGATAGTACAGGGACGTCGCGGCAATGATCGTTGACTGAAATGGCTGGCAGGGCACGATGTTCGACTACCTCGCAAATTACAACACCCCCACGCTCGTGTTGCTCGGGTTGTACTTCGCGATCCTCATCACGCTCTCGTTCTACGGCTCACACCGCTACCTGATGATCCGGCTCTACAAGAAGTACGCCGCCGGAAAGAGCGACCCCGAGCCCGCGGAGCACTTTGGCGAAGAGGATCTGCCTCACGTCACCATCCAGCTCCCCATGTTCAACGAGCGCTACGTCGCGCAGCGCCTGATCGACGCCGTCGCCCAGATCGACTACCCGCGCGATCGCCTCGAGATCCAGGTCCTCGATGACTCCACCGATGACACCACCGAGCTCTGCGCTCAGGTCGTCGCGCAAAAACGCGAGGAGGGGCTCGATATCGTGCTCATCCACCGCGAGGATCGCACCGGCTACAAGGCGGGCGCGCTCGAAGAGGGGATGCATGTCGCCAAGGGAGAGTTTATCGCCGTCTTCGACGCGGACTTCGTGCCAAAGAAGGACTTTTTGCGCCAGACGATCGACTACTTCACCGATCCCGGCATCGGGATGGTGCAGGCTCGCTGGGAGCACATCAACCGCGAGTACAGCTTGTTGACGCGCGCGCAGGCGATCCTGCTCGATGGGCACTTTGTCCTCGAGCACACCGCGCGAAATCGCTCGGGGCGCTTCTTTAACTTCAACGGCACCGCCGGGATCTGGCGCAAGCAGGCGATCCTCGATGCTGGCGGCTGGGAGCACGATACACTCACCGAGGACCTCGACCTCTCCTACCGCTCGCAGCTCGCCGGCTGGCGCTTCATGTTCCTTCGCGACGTGACCGCGCCGAGCGAGATCCCGGTCGAGATGAACGCCTTCAAAGCGCAGCAGCATCGCTGGGCGAAGGGCTCGACACAGACCGCCATAAAGCTCCTCTGGAGGATCTTTCGCGCCGACCTCCCCTTCCACATCAAGCTCGAGGCGTTCCATCACCTGACGGCCAACATGGCCTACATGTTGATGCTATTTCTGGCCGTGCTCATGCCGCTGGCCACGTTGATTCGCGTCCACCAAGGGCTCTACGAGACGCTCGTCTTCGACCTCCCGGTGTTCATGAGCGCGACCTTCTCGATCTGCTTCTTCTACTGGGTCTCACAGCGCGAGATCGGGCGCCCCACGGGCGAGATCCTGCGCATGATCCCGGCGGTCCTGGGCATCGGCATCGGCATCAGCATCAATAACGCCAAGGCCGTCGGCGAGGCGTTCATTGGCTACAAGACCCCCTTCGTGCGCACGCCAAAGTATGGCGTGGAGAGCTCCGGGGAGCGGTGGGCGAACAAGCTCTATATCAAGAAATCGACGGTGGTAACCTTGCTCGAGGTTGGCCTCGGGCTCTGGTTCACCTACGCGATCGTACAGGTGCTGCTCGATCCGCAGCGCTCGTTGTTTAGCCTGCCGTTTTTGATGCTCTTCCAGTTTGGCTTCTTCTACGTCGCCTCCTTGAGCGTCCTGCAGGCGATCGGCAGGATGCGCCACGCTGCGGCGGCGAACGCCGAGGCGATGGCGGAGTGAGCCGCGCAGGGAGCATCGCGGCGCTTTCTTGCGCGCTGATGCTCGGCATCAGCGCCACGCTCGCCATCGCGAACAGCGCGCTCTCCCCCTCCACTGCCCTCGCGCTCTACGCCGCGCTGTTCCTCCCCTACATCGCGCTCATTTACAGCGCTCGCGCTGTATCACCGACGAGAAATCACTGGCTCGGGCTGATGCTCTTCGCGCTCGCGCTGCGGGTGTTGTTTGCCTTTAGCGAGCCGCTCTTCTCCGACGATATCTTTCGCTACGTGTGGGATGGGCGCGTGGGCGCGGCAGGGATCAACCCTTACATCCACGCGCCAGACGCTTTGGAACTCTCCCACCTTCGCGATCAGGTCATCTGGCCAAAGATCAACCACCCCGAGATCCCCACGATTTATCCTCCGCTGGCGCAGATGGTCTTCCACCTGAACGCGCTCTGGCATGGAGGAACCAGCTCGCTGCGGATGCTCTTCGTATTGCTCGAGGCGCTGATGCTGGGCGGGTGCTGGGCGATTTTTTCGTGGAAGCGCTCTGGTGGCAAATCTCGCGATGAAGACAACACCAGGTCGAGCCTGTTGCCGCTGGCGGTGTATGTGCTCAACCCGCTGGTGCTCGTCGAGGGCATCTGGAGTGGTCATATCGACATCCTGGCGTGGGGGACCTTGACGTTGGCGCTGGTGATGTTCGTTCAACGCAAATCCCGAAGCGGCGCCATCGGCGCGGGGTTGTTGCTCGGCGCCTCGTGCGCGCTAAAGCTCATCAGCGTCATCTTCCTCCCGCTCTTGCTGCTCGCGCCAAAGGACGAGGCTACCCCGAGACGCGAGCTCTTTCTTCGGCGCGCGCTCCTGGCCATGGCGATGCCGCTGATTGTCGGCGCGAGTTATCTCCCTTACCTGTCGGCAGGTGGCGAGATGTTCGAGGGTTTGGCGCTTCGCGCTGCTGAGGGGGAATGATGGCCCGTTTCGCGCGCTGATGACGACGAGCGCGGTCAGCCTCAAAAGATGGGCAAAGGAAGAGCAGCGACAAAACCCGGAAGATCCAGCAGGGAAGGTCTTCGTGACGCTCTCGGCGCTCGGGCCGCTGTATATGAAGCTCGGGTGGACCAAGCAATGGCAAGGGAAGACAATCCCGGCGAACACCTACGCCGACGATCAAGCCTCGCAGACGGTGGCCAAGTTGATCGTGGCGGGGTTGATGGGGTTAATGCTGCTCTGGTGCTTGCTTGTGGTGCGCGATCCTCTAAAGGGAACCTTGTTATTGATGGGGACGCTCTTCTTTTTGGCGCCGACGCTCTACCCCTGGTACGTGGCCTGGCTCGTACCGCTGGCGGCGCTGACGAGGCACCGCACGCCGCTCCTGTTTGGCGCGCTCTCACTCGCGGCGTATTTGGCCTGGGTGTCATCCGAGGCAGGCGGCGAGTGGGTGGTGCCGTGGTGGGCGGTGAGCATCGAGTTTGGCGTGGTGTTCTTTGCGGCGTTTTACGAGGTCACGCGCCCTGTCTATTCTTCTTCCTCGACCTCAGAAAAATAGCGCTCGAACAGCTCTGACCTGCCGACTCTGCTCAACACTTCGCGCACACGCTCGAAGTTCAGGTCGCTATCATGCTCTCCCACAAGGGTGTGCACATCCTCGAGATCTCTTGCCCCTGAAGCGAGCAACTTAAGTACAATCAAACTCTCCAACGAACAGACGTGAACATCCACATCTGCGATGTTTTTGGTCACGGGATCTTTCAGCGCGACCCCAATGGCTCTGCCATGGTCTTGTTGATAATTGTAATTGAGGACTTCGATGGGAAAACACCCAGGAGGTTGCACTTCCATCGTGGCGAGGAAGGGATCGGCAGGATCACCGCTTGGATGGAACCGCACCTGTCCCTCGCCAAACAAGCGCTTCAAGACGCGAAGCGGTTCGATCGAGTCTCCCTTGTAGACAGCGAGATCGATATCCTCGGTAACACGCACGCCTCCCCACAACCGCACAGCGTAGCCGCCGATCAAGACACAAGGGATGTCTTCGTTCGAGAAGGCGTCTTGGATTTGTTTGATTACTTTGAACGAGCGCTCGAGCTTCGCTTGGATTTCGTCTGGCTCAGCCACGAGCAGGATCTTTCACGAGTTTGTCAAAAGCTTCGCTGAGTAAGGGCTCGTTCAAAGGTTTTGTGTCGAGCCCCTTGCGATCTGCATAGTTTCGCTCGAGCTGTTCATTCAGCTTGGACGGAGGGCGCTGCGTCTTCTCTTTTGGAATGGTGAACTTGTAACGCATCTGTTTGCCTTTGTTGTCTGGGCGAAACAATCGATGAGACATCGACGGCCTACAGAACAAACAATAATCAATCTCTCAAATTCTTCAAGCATATGCATTGTTCCAAAAGCTTATGAGAAGCAAACCAGAACAGGCGTCATGAGTTTGCCATCATACTGAAAAACGGGCATAATAGATGTATTGTCGCGCATTCACCGAGACCTGCCCCGGTTATCTGTTATGTCCTCGCGAAAACGGATCGGTATCTTACGGCGTTTGTTGCCAAACTCGTCTGACAACAACCTGACATCACTGCTGGTGATCTTCCTGGCGGGCAACGCGCTCGTGGCCCAGCAGGCGTGCTTTCTCGGGCCATGTCTCTCGCCGGTCGAGCCTCCTCCTGCGGACATGGATGATGGCTGGGACATCGGCGAGGATGGTGATCAAGGCGTCAGCCAGGATATGTACATTGGCCCCTGCCTCTCGCCGCCCCACCCGACATGGAGGTCGATATGGGCCCATGCCTTTCTGCGGATATGCCGATCGGCCCCTGCTTGACGCCGCTTCCTCCCGATATGGGTCAGGATATGGGCGAAGAGGTGGATATGGGGCCCTGTCTCTCTCCTCCGCTCGAGGACATGGGCAAGGAAGAGGACATGCCAGTCGGCCCATGTCTCTCGCCGCCGCTGGAGGATATGGGCGCCATCGATGGCAACGAGTTGCAGACGCCAAGGCACGAGAAGCTCGCGCCCGAGCGCGGTGATATGGAGCGTCAGAAGCTGCTCGCCAAGCTCTCGGACAGGTTGCCTGCCGATGTGTTGGCGAAACTTGGCAAAGACCTCGGCTAACCACAGGACCTCATCATGAGCCAACGCGCACGCATCGACATCCTCTCCAAGCTCAAGGGGAGCGATCCACATCTGCTGAGGATGATCCTCGCCGGGTTCCTGATCACGGGCGCGGCCGCGAACATCGCCGGTTGCTTCCTGGTGGGACCATGCCTCGATGTCGGCCCATGCCTTAGCCCTCCCATCGACAACAACGAGAACTGGGATCAGGGCGGTGACATGCAAGGCGACATGGAACAGGGCGACCTCGAGGTCATGCCCTGTTTGACCGCGCCTCCGCCCGATATGGAGGTCGGCCCATGTCTTGGCGCGCTGCCTCCTGACATGGGTCAGGACATGGCCCCGCAGGAGGACATGCCCGTGACGCCATGCCTCGATGTTCCCGCGCCCGATATGGGACAGGATATGGGCTCGCTCACGCAGCCTGTGGACAAAGAACTCCAGGTCGCGCAGCGCCAGGAGATCCTCGACAAGCTCTCGAGCAGGTTGCCCGCCGATGTGGTGGCGCGCCTGCAAGCACCCGATCCCGAACAGAGTTAAAGGTTAGACCAGATGGGCATCCTCGAACTCGGCTCAGACCACAACGTTCCCCGGCTCGACTTCGAGCTGATGCATGGCTGCGATCACGCCTGCGGCCACTGCTACAACGTCTGGGGCGCAGACGATGACGATCCTCAAGGCGGCTACAAGAAGGGGACGCTCACGGGTGATGCCTTCTTGAACATGGTCGAGAAGGCGATCGTCGACTCCGGCGCGCGACATGTGACAATCACTGGCGGTGAACCTCTGCTGCACAAGCAAGCGCTCGAGGTCATCGAGCTCATCGGCGGGCTGACCGACTCGATGCAGATCATCACCAACGGCAGCCACATCACCGAGGAGGTCGCCCAGGTCTTCAAGAGGAGCGGCATGCGATCTGTGCAGCTCACGCTCCTCAGCGCGAGCCCTGGAAAGCACGACCTATTAAAAGGCGCGCAATGCTTTGACGACACGGTGCGCGCAGCGCTCACGCTTCGCGACTACAAGATCCCCGTGCAGGTCTGCTTTGTCGCCATGCGCGCCAACTGGGAGGACTTCGAGGAGGTCGTCGAGTTGTGCCACCTGCTCGGCGTCTATCAGATCTCTTACAATCGCATGTCACCTACAGGTGGCGCGGTGCACCACATCAACCGATTGATGCCCGAGGTCGCGCACGTCAAGGCGAACCTCGAGACCGCCGAGCGGTTAGGCCGCAAGTACAACATCCGCATCGCCACGGCGATGCCGATCCCGCCGTGCCTCGTGCGCATGGAGCGCTACCCCTGGGTCGAGTTCGGCTTCTGCTCCACGGGCACCGAGTCGCCAAACCTGACGATCGATCCGCTCGGCGTGGTGCGCTCGTGCAACCTCTCGAGTCATCCTCTGGGGAACATCGCGCACGAGGAGTGGGACGCGATCCATACGCGCATCCTCGAGTATCAGGATGACTTCCGGGACAACGTGCCCGAGGTCTGTCGCGGGTGCGCCTACGAGCGAAGCTGTCAGGGAGGTTGCAAGGAGAGCGCGTTCGCCACGTTCGGTGACACCGCGCACCCCGAACCCTTTCTGCACCTGGCGCACTCCCCGAACTGGCGCGAGGATCTGGCGCTCGAGAAAGAGGCGCCCCGCTACGACTGCCCCGGCTCATCGCTCGGGCAGTAACCTCCCTGAAAGCACCCGAGAGAGAAGACGCCATGCTCATCGATCGCGCCGACAAGCGCCCTTGCGTGCTGCTGATCTCGCCAGGGATCATCAAGTGGACCGATATGGACTTTGGCCTCCCTCACCTTGTGAGCATCGGAGGTTATATCCAGCAGGAGCTCGACGTGCGCGTCGAGCTGCTCGACCTGAACTACGAGGGCGGCGATCACAGGCACCTCGAGCGCGTGCTCGACGACCTTGGACCCTACCTTTTGATCGGCATATCCTGCTTCTCGAGCTTCGATTACATGCGGGTGATGTCGCTGGCGAGGTTCTGCAAGAAGCTCTACCCCGACGTCCCGATCGTCACCGGCGGTTATCACGCCTCGGCGTTGCCTGATGATGTGCTGTTCGAGGACTCCCCCTTCGACGCGGTGATTCCTGGCGAGGGAGAAGCCCCGATGCGTCAGATCGTCGAGAAGTTGCTCGGCGGCGAAAAGCTCGAGCGCAGGGTGTGGCCCAAGGGGGTCGTCGAGGATATGGACGCGCTGCCGCCTTATAAATGGGAGCTCCTGAATCGCTACTGGCCGCGCGCACACGAGATCGGGCGCAAGTTCCAGATCTACCTCTCTCGCGGCTGCGTCTATCACTGCACCTTCTGTATGGAGCGCGCCAAGTCGGGTTATCGTTGGCGCTCTTACAGCCCACAGCGCGCAGTCGCGGAGCTCGAGCGGCTCTCGACCTTCACCGATCTTTCGCGCTGGGTGATCAACCTCGCAGATCCTCTGTTCGGGTTTCACCGCGAGTGGCGCCGAGAGGTCCTGCAGGGAATCATCGACAAGGATCTTCTGCCCAGGCAGTACTGGACGCTGACGCGATCGGATGACTTGCACGAGCAAGACATCTCGCTGCTCGCGCGCGCGAACTTCTCGATCGGCATCGGCATGGAGAGCGGCTCACCGGCGATGCTGAAGTTGATGCAAAAAGGGAACAAGCCGGAGAAATACCTCGAGGCGCAGCTTCGTCTGGCGCGCCTTAGCCGCGAGCATGGGTTGAACTGGGCAGGAAACATCATCGTCGGGCACCCCGGCGAGACGCCCGAGTCGATGCGGGAGACCTTCGAGTTCGTCACCGAGTTGTTCACCTCTGCGAGCGAGACGTGTGGGTGGCTCTCGCTCGATCCATTCCGCCTGTATCCGGGCAGTCACGTGCACGAGCAGATGGCGCATTACGAGCTCGAGTATGGCACGCGCTTCTATCACAAGGAGTGGTGGAAGAGCTGGTACGATGGGCCTTTCCGCGCCGAGCACCTGGACGCCAGTGATACCGTGGACTTCGCCACGCGCGTCAACTTCATGTACGACAACTACGCGCCGTTGATGAAAGAGATCCTCGACAAGTTCCGCGGTCAGGGCCGCTCCATCGACCGCGTCTTCAAGCGCAGCCTGGAGGAGCAAACGCACCAGATCAGCGAGGTTCGTCGCCAGAGCCTGCTCTCGCAAGCCGCGCGCACCAGGACCGCGCTCGAAGGGAAGATGGCGCCAAAGCACACCGAGGCGAGGCAGCAGGTGCTCGACTTCCCGCTCGGCCTGCACATCAAGGACGAGAACGTACGGCTTCGCGAGGAGGCCGTGCGCAGGTTGCTCGAGCGAGGCGTGCTCCGCACCGCCTCGCTCATCGAAGCACTGCTGACCACCCCCGTGCACACCTTCCTCGGCGAATCCAACGCGCGAAAGATGCTCTCTGGCCACGGCGATACACCCGAGGTCGAGGGGTTGCCTCCAGGTTGGTTTGGCATCGGCGTCTACGCCACAGCATTCGAGGCGCTCAACCCTGGCGCTGGCGAGCGCGTGTTGGACGCGCTCGCCAGCAATGGATGGGTCGCCTCGGTGTTCTCGCAGATGGTCGGCCCTCAGGGCGAGGTCTTCGCGATGAACCCTGGCGACTTCGACTCGGGGTATACGCTCTCGACGAGCTTGCGCGAGGTCGCGCACAACACACGCGTCTTTGCCGGACCCGCGACGACGCTCCCGGAGCCTGCGAGCACCGAGTTGGACGCGATCTGGCTCGGCGGCGCCCTCCCCCTGGCGCCCAAACCCTTCCGCGAGGCGCTCGCCGAGAAAGGCCGCCTGGTGACCTTCCTCGGGCCAAGGTTCGATGATCAGGATCTGGTCTGCATCACCAAGAGCGAGGGCGAGTGCAAGGAGCGCACGCTCGGTCGCACGCGAGCGCCGGTGATCGCGGGGCGTTATGGCTGGTTGCGAAGAATGCCCACCGCTGGCGCCGCCGAGTGATTTTCAAGAGATGGAGATCCTGACCGAATGGCGCGCCCATGTGAGCGCGCATTATGCCTTGCTCGCGCAGATCCCGATGCCGGGCGATGCGGCCAACGTGCATGTTCCCGGCAGAGATCCTGTGAGCGACGCGTTATGCGCCGCGTGGGCGGCGGCCGATGCGGGTTCGCGGCTTCGGGCGCAGATCACACCGCTCTGGTATGAGACCGCCGAGGATTACTTGCAAAACCCCGAAGCCGCGAACCCGCATCGGCTCGACAGCCCACGCCAGAACAGCGAGACGCTGGCGAGTCGACTGAGGGAGGGGGTCCGGGCCCTGATCGACGAACAGAACATGCAGGCGGTGCTGGGCCCGGCCCCCCTCCCTCAGTCGACGCATCGCTGGCTTACGGAGACGCGATCTGCGCTCTACGAGCGCTCGAGCGAGGCGCCAATGTTGAGGATCATTCACACGCCAGCGCTCGGCTATACGTGGCGAGGGGTTCACTTCACGCGCGGTCGCGCCACCGAAAACAAGGCCGGCGAGCGCGTCATCGCCGTCTCGCTCGACGCCGACCCCGAGCAACTCGCCATCCAGTTGCTGCACGAAGAAACCCACCCGGTGACTGACCCCGCCATCCTCGCGCGCCACGAGAACGTCGCGCGCCGCACTGACGGCAAGGGCCAGGGTGGCGCGCTGCATATGGAGCTCGAACAACTCGTCGTGGACGTGGACGCCGCCATCATCGCCGCACGCGCCCCGGAGCTATCAGAAGCTTACGAGCTCTGGCGCGCGCAGTTCGGGATGTGAGGTTTCTGCGACGGTTTTGCAGGATGCGCCCCCCTCGCACCCCCCGCGGCCCTCGCTATCGCTCGTCCGCGGCCCCAATGTCTCACTTCGTTCGGGAGGGGCAGACCACCTGGCGTCGGGTTGATTGCGCGGTTTTGGCTCGCAGGGTGGCTTGTTGTAGGTCGTGCAGGCGTGTGTACCCCGCGCGCCTGCGGCGCTGCCCCGGAGGGCTTCTTGTTGTAGGTCGTGCAGAGTGCGGGGACATGCCCCGCGCTTCGCGCAAAACGAGGGGCGATCTGGTAGCTTCTTGGGCGTTAGTGTTTTGCGCCAGGGAGCTTCGAGATTTGCAGTGAGTTTCATGAGGGCGCCCGATGCGAACCTCGACGCCCAAATCCTCGCCAAGAAGCCCACCAAACCTGGGGGGCAGCGCGAAGCGCGGGGGGCTTGTTCCCGCACTCTGCAAAACCGACACAAA